ACATGCTATTGCTCTATGACCAACAGGGGCATACAAACTGGACATTTTCAGTGTAAACAAATGTTATAACATGCTATTGCTCTATGACCAACAAGGGCATACAAACTGGGCATCTTCAGTGTTAATAAATGTTATAACATGATATTGCTCCATGACCAACAGGGGCATACAAACTGGGCATCTTCAGTGTAAATAAATGTTATAACATGCTATTGCTCTATGACCAACAGGGGCATACAAACTGGACATTTTCAGTGTAAACAAATGTTATAACATGCTATTGCTCTATGACCAACAAGGGCCTACAAACTGGGCATCTTCAGTGTAAATGAATGTTATAACATGCTATTGCTCTATGACCAACAGGGGCATACAAACTGGGCATCTTAAGTGTTAATGAATGTTATAACATGCTATTGCTCTATGACCAACAGGGGCATACAGCATGGGCATCTTCAGTGTAAATAAATGTTATAACATGCTATTGCTCTATGACCAACACGGGCATACAAACTGGGCATCTTCAGTGTAAATAAATGTTATAACATGCTATTACTCTATGACCAACAGGGGCATACAAACTGGGCCTCTTCAGTGTAAGAAATGTTATAACATGCTATTGCTCTATGACCAACAGGGGCATACAAACTGGACATATTCAGTGTAAAGAAATGTTATAACATGCTATTGATCCCTGACCAACAGGTCGCGATTTCGGTCGACTGTAGGATTTGCAAGTGTAGCAGTCCCAAATAAACCCCTTCAAAGTTCACTCTACAGTGATTTCGGTCGACTGTAGGATTTGCAGGTGTAGCAGTCCCAAATAAACCACTTCAAAGTTCACTCTACAGTGATTTGGGCCAAGGCTGAGATCACTGTAGAGTGTGTTGAGCCTAGGCTCTGGACACTACCCTCTAATACGCTCAGAACACTCACTCCAGGCTCAGGTCACTCCCTGTTAGGCTCAGATCAATACCCTACAAATTTACAGTCTATGGCATACAAACTACATGCTATTGATCCCTGACCAACAGGTCGCGATTTCGGTCGACTGTAGGATTTGCAAAGCATGCGTACCGTTAACTGGGCGTCGACAGATATTTTGCAAATCTTTTAATATTCCAATTTCAAGATGCTTAGTTGAAATTTCAAGATAGGAAGTTGAAATTTCAAGGTAATATCTCGAAAGTTCAATCCTGTCCAGGAGTGTGCATAGAGAAATAATTCTATGTGATTTATTGTAATTCTGGGTTATCCAGTCATTGAACTTCACGATTCCGCACAACATAATGAACATCTTACAAGATTTATTTGCATACGCAAAACATATAATGATACGTGTAGCAGTAGTCATCAGTTGTAAAAATGTGTGCAGGCAGACGTGACGAAACATTCAGTACAAAGGGTATGTCAAGGCGTCAAGGTGTCAAGGTGTAGGAAACTAATCGGAAAGTATATGTGTCTAATCTATTTGCGTTAATGATTATCAGCCTTGGAGGAGTAATGTACTTCATATTGTTATCAACGTTAACTGTGTTGCGAGATCATGTCGCCATATCGCAGGTTGCTCTGTCGCCGTATCGTGTAATATATATCGCAATATTGCGTTTTTGGCTATATCGCTATATCGCGTCGCACTATCGCTTTAATTGTCGCTATGTCGCGTGGATATCCAAAGGCGATGGGGTACATTATGTCAGTTAAACTGTAATTTATTTTTCAGTTTGACTGGACATGTCAGGAAAGAGAAAACTATATTTTTTATACAAGACCAGAACTTGCGTCAGCATGCAGTTTCCCAGGTTTGTTTGTTTGATTGTTGTTAAAGTGAGAGAGTATTGGTTTACGCCACTTTTAGCAATATTCCAGCAATATCACGGCGGGGGACACCAGAAATGGGCTTCACACATTGTACCCATCTGGGGAATCGAACCCGGGCTTTTGGCGTGACGAGCGAACGCCTTAATCACGGGGCTACCCGACCGTCCGATTGTTGTTTAAACACTGCGGCATCCTGTAACTAAACAAAAATCTAGTCTGAACCTTGGTGAGGTGAGGTGAGGTGAAATGGGGTTTAACGTCGCGTCCAAGATTATTGCACTTATATAGCGACGTGTATCTACGTGTGTGTGTTTGTGTGGCTGCTTGTACTAGTCCGGACTGATGCCGATTTATAGTGCTAGCTCACTGAGATACCATGCCGCAGTTTAACATGAATACCCCACTCAGACACAGTATACTGACTCCGAGCCGACCAGTCCTTGTTTTTTAGCCCCTTAATGCCGAACGCCAGACAGGGTAACAACAAGTACCATCTTTTAACGTCTTTTGGTATGACGCGGTCGGGGATCGAACCCCGGACCTTCCGCTCTCCGGGCGGACGCTCTACCACTAGACCACGGAGGCGGTCTCTGGACCTTGGTAGTATGATGGCATGCAATCCTCCAAGTCTACAATCTTATTCTAATAATAAACCTAACATTCGAATAATACATAACATAGGCACTGCGCAACGTTGAAACTTTATCAATCGAAAACCTAATAATAAATCAACGGCGGGTATATCCAACCTGCCCCCGTGACACACCCAATAGGGATTTCGGGGATCGATGAGGACCCCTTCAAAATATGTAATTAAGAAAGACGTTTGTGTAGTGTGTAGTGTAATAAAATATAATTTTACCCTGAGCTATAGCAGCTAAAGTACGAGGACAAGGTGGAGAGAAAAAGCAACAGTGGTATGTTGCTAAATAGCCTATGCTGAGCGACTGAAGTTTGTTTATGTTATGGATCAAGGATTCTCCTTCCTATGTCCAGTGGCAGACATAATTCAAGGGCACCAACGTCCGCTGTCATGTACTGGTTGACGGACACAATGCTTGTGAGTGAGTGAGTGAGTTGGGTTTAACGCCGCTTTTAACATTATTCCAGTTATATCACGGCTTGTCAGCTAAATGTGGGAGGAAAGCCCGAAGTGATGCAGGTCTCAGACGTTTACCACTTCGGTGAAACCCACGAGCACGGGTATGGTGCTGACAAACTTAGAAACATGATTGGGGCGAACCGGGATTCGAACCCACAATCATAGGTTTCTGGCGTGCCCAAGGTACGCAACTCTGCACAGCGAATCGCAGCGCCTTAGACGACTGGGCAACCCGTGCCCCCACACTGCTTGTGTGTGTCTTGAGGGTAACACTGCAGAATGTTATAGTCAGTTGTCCAGGGGTGAAAAACAAGATTTTCGTTCCCACATTTTCCTGTATACCTTGAACCTTTTCTATTGTATTAAGGAGGTATCTGTACACAATTTTCATTGAGTAGTAAGCTTGCAAATGTATGCGTGAATTTTCAGGGGGTCAAAATTGCATAAATTGAAGGAAAAATGCATAATTTAACAAAATTGGCTGTGACATTTTTATTAAGTCATTAAACTATCAAATTTGTGTCTTTGATTACAGGTAATGTGTTCGGTTATCTGAATTTGGCAAACATTTTGTTTCATATAACTGTTATTCTAATTCTCAGTGGAAACATTGGTAAAATTCATGTTTTTTTACTTTATTTTCAAATTTTGTAAGTAGGTAAAACACTAATTCCATTGAATTGTGACAATAAAACCACTATAACTGAGTATTAAAATCTGCCTGAACCATTGTACTATCCTGTACAAAAATCAAAATGAAAATATATACTACATATGGGCTGAGATATTTTATACAATGTTACCCCACCCCACCCCCAAAAAAACAAAATTGCTTATTGAGATATGGTGGTAGATTATGTTGATGAGTTGAATAATTGCAACAATGCTTAAAAACACCAAAATAGTAAACTCATAAAGAAAAGTGATGTTTCAAGTTTTTCTGTAAACATCTACGTGGTTGACATAATCTTTTGAAGACTGTTTACTCCCATGGGCTGATCGGGGCACGGGTGGCCCAGTCGTCTAAGGCGCCGCGATTCGCTGTGCAGAGTTGCGTCCCTTGGGCACGCCAGAAACCTATGATTGTGAGTTCGAATCCCGGTTCGCCCCGATTATGTTTCTAAGTTTGTCAGCACCATACCCGTGCTCGTGGGTTTCACCGAAATGGTAAACATCTGAGACATGCATCACTTCGGGATTTCCTCCCACATTAAGCTGACATGCCGTGATATAACTGCAATACTGTTAAAAGCGGCGTTAAACCCAACTCACTCACTCACCCATGGGCTGCCAGGAATATCAACAATTCGATTTCGATTCAAAAGGGGACGCGGCAAGAAAGCATCTATTTCGGGTAGTGAGGCTTGTTATGCGTGCTTGATTTGAACGTCCTCATCCCATGTAGTGAATTTGGAATACAGACCCTCTGATCCGAGGTCCGTGACTGGTGTACATGGGATTCGAACCACGAATCTTCCGAACCTATGTCTGACGCATCGTCCATATGAGTCAAGTAGTTAACTCGTCAGCAAACTGACATGGTAAAGAAGTCATATCTGACGCATGATCATCGCCCTGCTACACAAACACACCAAATCACTCACTAAATAATTATGTTTTCCTTGTGTTCGTTGAAATTCCTGCATTCTGATTAGCTGAATTGGTCACGTGATGTTACATTAAAAAATCAAGCCACGTCCACCGACCTTTACTACTACAGAATGTCGGGGAATCCCACTATTAAAGTCGATGGAATTCCCCTTTTGCTCACGTGTATCGTCATATGCAGGAAATTTAGCGAAATTCATGTCCAAACAATATGCAATGTGCAAACTTTTGAAAGAATCCGCTACGCGGATTTATACTATATGCACATCGGTTTTTCGATTCATACCCCAATGAACCGAAAACAATACACAGTCAGTCCTTAAATATATTGTAAGTCATGTATCTATAAAAACCTATACTGCTCTCTTTGTCCCTTTTCAGGCTAAAGCTTGTTCTCGGCGTCGCATTTTGCCTTGCATGCTTCATGATGTGGAGAGACCTTTTACGGACTGAACCAAGTGTTCCAATGATGGCCACAGTTAAGGCTGCTTCGAAGATAGCTTCTGTCACTGTCTTGGCAACACCGCCCCACAATATATCTCAGGACCAGTGCATTACGTACCTGGCGCTGTCATCGAGGCCTATCCAAAGCAATAACGCAGAAAAACGACACATAGCTTTCCTAAAAGTCCATAAGTGTGCAAGTTCTACACTATTTAACATATTTTACAGGTTTGGACAACAAAGGCATCTAACATTCGTGATTCCTCGCCAGGGACACATCATTGGACGATCTACAGCCATGCGAAAACGAAAACTTTTTCCACCTCCTGGGAATAAGTCATTTGATATTGCGTGCCTTCATTCTATTTTCGAGAAGGAGGTTTATGAAGCTTATCTACCGAAAGACACAATATACGTTGCTATAATTCGTGAACCAATAAACCGCCTCGTATCAGCATTTTGGTACTACCTCACTCACTTCAATATTCCATATCTACGAAAGATACCAGGGTCCGATCCAGTAGGCACATTTCTATCGGAGCCAAGTAAATACGAAATCAAGGATGTCTATTATTCTCATACCAACAACAGAATGGCACTTGACTTTGGTTTTCCTCCTCAACATTTCGGAAACCTATCCTACTTCAAGCAGTATCTAACCCTGCTTGATTCTAGATTTGACCTCATCCTTGATGCAGACCTGTTCCCAGAGTCCATTGTTCTTCTGAAACGGAAACTGAATTGGAGCCTCAAGGACATCCTGTACATCGCACAAAATAAACAGAAAAAGAAACCCGTTCATTTGACAAAATTGGTAACATCGAAAGCAAAAGATTTCTTACATTTAGACTATATTCTATATAACCATTTTTCAAGACGGCTTCGGGAGGAGATTAGAAATCAAGACGAGTCTTTCAAGGACGAAGTGGAGAACCTTCGTCGTGTTCAGCTGTATGTGGCAAGGTTTTGTATCGCTAGTGGCTCACATGGCATGGGTAAAGTCCTCGTCGTGGGGGCTACAATGTGGAACCAAGAGTTCAGGGTAGACTTCTGTGACTGCAGCTACATGGAACAAAAAGAAGTTTCAGCTGTAAAGATGATGAAAAAGAGCATCTACACCCGCCTCAAGAAAGAAGGACCAAATGAACCCTACTTTATTAAACTGCCCATGTGACGGCTCTCTCAGAGTTGCGTCCCTTATGTGTGCTAGGATCCCTTAATCCCGGGTGCGAATCCTTTTTTTCGCAAAGATAATGTTCCATGGTTTGTCAGCACCATACCTTGTCCTAGTCGGCTTCATCAAAGTGGTTTTGTTTGTTTGTTGTTTGTTGTTTAACGCCACACTCAGCAATATTCCAGCTATATGACGGCGGACTGTAAGTAATCGACTCTGGACCAGACAATCCAGTGATTGATAACATGCATCGATTTACGCATTTGGGATATGATGACCAACCGACCGCGTTAGTCGCCTCTTACGACAAGCACGGGTGGCTGAAGACCCGGTTCTTCACGGGTCCATCAACTGGTAAATATCTTACAACTGTATCTTTTCTCCCACTTTTAGCTAACACGTTTTATTACATAATATGACAGTTATAAAGATGCAGGTTGCGATGGAATTCATCGGAATTCCTTAAACTTTCTACAATTCAAATATCTCCGATACTAATTAATTTATTTAATGAAATAATGAAAACTAGGAATTTCCCGATTGATTGTGCGAGGCAATCATATGCTCTCTATCTGATCCAACAACTACAGAGGAATCTCTCTGTTACCAGTGATTGGAAAGGTTTTCACCAAAATATTAAACCAACTCCAAAATTGGTCCCATGAAAACAATTCCATATTCTCCAACATACTACAATACCATTACATATTCTCTAACATGCTACAATACCATTCCATATTCTCCAACATGCTACAATACCAATCCATATTTGCCAACATGCTACAATATCATTCCATATTCTCCAACATACTACAATAGCATTCCATATTCTCCAACATATTACAGTACCATTCCATATTCGCCAACATACTACAATACCATTCCATATTCGCCAACATGCTACAATACCATTCCATATTCGCCAACATGCTACAATACCATTCCATATTCGCCAACATGCCACAATACCAATCCATATTCTCCAACATATTACAGTACCATTCCATATTCGCCAACATGCTACAATACCGTTCCATATTCTCCAACATATTACAGTACCATTCCATATTCGCCAACATGCTACCATACCGTTCCATATTCGCCAACATGCTCGATACCAATCCATATTCGCCAACATGCTACAATACCATTCCATATTCGCCAACATACTACAATACCAATCCATATTCTCCAACATATTACAGTACCATTCCATATTCGCCAACATACTACAATACCATTCCATATTCTCCAACATGCTACAATACCATTACATATTCGCCAACATGCTACAATATCATTCTATGTTCTCCAACATACTACAATACCATTCCATGTTCTCCAACATACTACAATACCATTCCATATTCGCCAACATGCTACAATACCATTCCATATTCTCCAACATGCTACCATACCAATCCATTTTTGCCAACATGCTACAATATAATTCCATATTCTCCAACATACTACAATAGCATTCCATATTCTCCAACATATTACAGTACCATTCCATATTCTCCAACATACTACAATACCATTCCATATTCGCCAACATGCTACAATACCATTCCATATTCGCCAACATGCTACAATACCATTCCATATTCGCCAACATGCTACAATACCAAGCCCATTTCTGTTGTCCCCCGCCGTGATGTTACTGGAATATTGCTAATTAAGCCTGTGCTTGCCGTAAGAGGCGACTAACGGGATCGGGTGGTCAAGCTCGCTGACCTGGTTGATGCATGTCATCGTATCCCAACTGCGTAGATCTATGCTCGTGTCGTCAATCACTGGAATGTCTGGTCCAGACGCGATTATTATTCCCAAACGCCTTGTCCGTTAGTCCGTTATCATTTCGACATCCGGAGCACAGCTCGTAAATCGTTCAATACTTTCCAAAACAAATTGCCAGATATATCAAACAGATCCTGAAGAGGCGCCTTTGAATATTTGGATCATTTTTATTTTTCTCCATTTATATGAAAGCAATTTGATTTGGTCTCGAGATGGGTTGGTTGTCGATTTCAGAGCAGAGCTAAAGAATCATAGAATACTCTTTAACAAAACATGCCAGGTTTAATCATGTCATGGAGTGGTTCCTTTATTTTGAACATTTTTAGTAATATATTTTCCCACGTTTCCATGCAGACAAATTGCACTTATTCTGAAATGGTCTTGGTGTTTTGTGAGAGCAGAATTTTAAATATCTTTTTCAAGACTTTGAAAATGTGTTTCAAATAAAAAAAAGATTCTTTGATCGAGGTGTGAGATTTCTTTTTTCATATTGACAGACGTCATGAAGTATTATGATAGGATAACCTTAATACATCAGTCACTGACTCGGTAGTACCAGCCAATTGAGACACCATGCCGCAGTTTAACATGAATACCCCACTCGGGCACAAAATAGTAACTGTGAGTGGTCCTTGATGTCTTTTGGTCTGACTCGGCAGGGAACCTTACGATCTCCGGGCAGACGTTTACTACTAGACCACGGAGACCTCTGCTTGTCGAACGGGGCACTGGTCCAGCCAAGGGTATAGCGCGAATCGGGATTATGAAACACCACTTAGAAATTAAGATTAACACATGACTCGTTGCAGTATTTTTTCTTCATTTTAATAACAACCATAACAGGATACATACAACATTAACAAGTCTTCCATCGTGCTCAACTTTAAACATGGGGCCTTTCCATGATGGCGTATCTTGTTTCCCCTGCCTTGATATTAGAGGAATATAGCTACAAGCGGCATAAAACCACACTCACTCACTCATGGTGGCGTCAATTATCGTTACAGCAGAGATGGAGCAACGAAACACACTGTCAAGCATGTTACACAAGCACTAGTCAGGTGAAGAACACCGTTAATATCGGTCACTTTTCAAGAAGTTGTGGTCTTGTTTCCAGCACAACGTATATCAGGTCATTGATGTAGCCATGGAGCCGCCTGTTCTCTTCCCGTTCCCACTGGAGCTTCTTCATCAACTTCCCGCAGATGATGTCATCTATGCTGGAGTCGGATTTCGCCGCCCGTGGCGTGCCGGTCCGTGTAAAGTCGCAGACTGAATGTTTCCTCGCCGCCTCGGTAGCTGATACCTGACACCCAGGGACACTGGACAAGCTTCTGGTTCTACTGGCCACTCGTGAGACCTCCGTCAGTTGAGATCTCTTCCGACTTCTTAACTTACATCTGTAAAGTCTATCACGTAGTGTCATATTCTGGAGTCCTAGTCGCTCTAACTCGACATCAAACTGCGTCGCCTTTTGGAGTGGCCCATCAAAAACGTCGTCCTTGTTTCCTTGGTCGTTAATGTCGTCATCTGAACTGATAGACGAACCAATCCCAGAGGAAACGCTGTATTGCGACACCGTCGACGAAGTCGGACAGGTAGTGTCGCTTTCGTCTAATACGAACAAGCGTTTTCTACTGTGTCCGTTTCGCGTACAAGCATATCGTTCATTGGATTCAGCCAAATTGTTAGATTTTAAAGTTCCCTTCTTAATGAATATTAGAATCAGCTTCAGGACAACCCAAAGAGCAAGATTCAGGAATCGGACTACCTCTGTCATGTTGATGAAACTTACAGAACATAATGTAACATGGGTTTCCGATGGTTATATATATATACCCGTCAGAGCCCATTCCTCTGTCGCAATTAAGGTAATGGAAGCCTTAATTAGTTTAAACTGCCGACTGTTTTTACAACAGATTGAGACAAAAGGTTCGCAGCTGGTTACTCTGATTGAGGTTCTAACTTAATGATTCAAAGACAAACACAGCCCCGATCTTGTTACAACTCGCGCCGTGATGTACACGCATTTTGAATAGAGAGGGCTTGGGCTCGCTATGTTCAAAGGCATTGTGTTGTGATAATTAAAATAAACGGGATTAACACCTGTGGTGTTGTCCGCTTAGAAATAATAATTATTGATTGTTTGTAGTAAGTATAATTTTATTGAATTTACACCGCTACACACAATATGGAGATAAGTGTTTAATCTTTATTGAAACATTTTTATCAACATTTTTATCATGTCAATACCTCCCCTTTACAAAATGTTATGCATGTTTCTAGTAATAAAGAAACACTTTTTATATCAACCACAAAGTTTCGGTGAAGCAGTTTGAAAGTCACATAATGGATGCATGTGACTATATACATCATACAATTAAGTATTATATGGTATAAACCTATTTGATTTCAAAATCTGTAGGATTGATTGTCAAGTTTGAGAAATGTTGATGCAAGTTTCGTTTTCATTTCCACTTGGAATGTATATTGTCAATGCAAGAGAATAACCCGTCTTGATTATCTGCCGAAACAAATTCCAATAGGTTTAAGGGGCAAAATAGCTGAAAATTACATGAATGGACCACTGAAAATCAGTGATGACACCAGGTGTTCGCAAAACATGTCCTGCCCTACTATACCACAACATATGCTTTTGATATAGTCAGAATCTAAGTCGAGTCTGCTTTGGGCAGAGATTTTAAAGGATTGTGGAAAGAGTTTTGACTTGAGATCACTTACTTACTTTGGAGATTTAACGTGCGCTTTCCGACTGATGCGTATTTCGCACACGGCCCGGCCAGGCCATTTAATGTGTTTCCGAAAGGGGCGAAAGTGGTCTGTGCAACCCAAGAGGGGGGTTTAGGGGCTGTTTAATAAGAATTTGGGACTTGAAATCTGAATATCGCTCCTTAAGCATTAATTACTCAGAGTAGAATCTCTTTCGTGAATCAACATTGTTAAAACAATATTAATCCCGTCTTCTTCTTTGAGATTGAACTAGTTTCTCTGTTTATCAATTGATGGCCCCAAATATAAAGTTTCGATGATGTTTCTTTATGTCCTCCGTGAACAGGGAAACGTGGCCTAGCCAAACCCAAAACGACCCCCATTTTCGTCTGTTCTTTGTACTGGGGACCTTCAATCTCGACAGGGTATATATATACCCAGAAAGGGTTAAGCACCCATTTTCTTCACTTTCATATATCCCGTGGAAATATCTAACTGGGACATTGGTATGATTTGATATATGCCTAAGTCGCCAGTAGAAATGTTAGTCCAAGAATACAGTCTTAATGCAAACAAATGTAAATATCCTGAAACTGG